CAACTTGGAAGCCTGCCCCCCCCCACCGCGCCCGACCCCACCCCCCTACAGCCCTCCCAACCACGCCCCCCCCATGCCGCCACCCCAAGGTCGCACCAACCATCCCCCATCACACCGCCAGAATCAGCCACCCAGACCCCACCACCAACAAAAAAATGATGTGGTGGGTGGGTTGGGGTTGTTGGTGTGGGGGGGTTGGGGGGGGTTGGGGGGAAACAACCACTCCACAAACAAACACCACGGGAGAACAACAAGCAAACAACCACAACAACAAACAGCCAACAAGGGGGTTAGCCGAAGCAACACACAAATAAACCAGCAACACCCAGACCAAAAACACCTACCACATCCCCCGGCATGCTACCCCCCCACCCCCGCAACCCCACCTTTCCTGCTCGCCACGACCTCACACAGCCACCCACGACCCTCGCCAACCCACACCACCCACAGAAACCCCCCCCCCCCTCCCTCCGTACTCACGACTCCACCCCCCACGCACCAGCCGCCCCCCCTCCTTGTCCCGGCCACGCGGGCCCCTGCTCCCCCCCACTCCACCCCCACCCCTCTTCACCCACTCCCCCTCCTGCCACTACCCCGCCCCCTCCCCCGCCCCCCTCCCTGGCCGCCCCTCCCCCCCCCCCCCCCCCCCCCCTCCCAACTCCTCCCTCATCGCTCCACCCGATCCCCCCCCACCCCGCCCCCCCCCCTCCCACCCCCGGCCCCCTCGCCCCCCCCCGCCCATCCCCCGCTCCCCGTACTCCCCGCCACAGCCTCCCCCATACCACCGCCCTCTTTGACCCCCCCACCCCCCACGGCCGACCGCCCCCTCCCCACCCCCCATCCCCCGCACCTCCCCCGTCCCCTGCCCCTCCCCCTCCACGGCATGCCGCCCCCCCCCCCGCCCACCAAAGGTCCCCCCCCCCCTTCCTCGCCTCTCCCCCCGCATCACCCCCCCACTCCACCCGCACGTAGCCGCTGACCCCCCTCCCGGGTCCACCTACCCCCCGCCCCCTCCACCCCCCCCCCCCCCCCGTCGCCCCCGCCACACCTCCCCCCCGCCCCTTCCCCTCTGGTTACGTTCGCCTACCCTCCTCCGCCCAACCCGAGCTGCCCCTCCCGACCCCTTACCCCCCTCCACTCCCTCGCTACCTCCACTCCCCCCACGCTCCCACCCTCCCCACACCCCCAGCCCCGCATCCCACACCACCCCCCCCCTCGCCCCCCACGCACCCACCCCAGTGATCCACCCCTACCGTGTCCCCGCACCCCCCACTTCCCCCCCCCAGCACTCCCTTACGGCCCAGCCGGCCAGTCACCGCCGCCCCCACCCCGCACCCCAGCCCCTCCCACCCCCCCCAACCAGCCCCTCCCTCCCCCCGACCACCCCCCCCGGGCCCCTACGAACCCTCCCCCTCCCCCCACCCCTCGGGCCCTCTCTGCCCTACCCCCCCCCCCGCCACGACTTCGGCCCCTTACCCCCAGTCCTCGCCTAACTTCCCCCGACCCATTCCCACCCCCACTCTGCACACTCTCCAACAATTATCCCCCCTCCCCCCACTAGACCTGCCTCCGCCCACCCCATCTTACCCCCCCTCACCCCCCCCCCCCCCCCCCTGCCTCCTAATCCCCCCCGACCCAGCCCACCCCCCCCCCACGCAGCCTCACGCACCCTGATTTCCCCCCCCCTCCCTCCCCTCGTCCCTACCCGTAGCGCCCAGGCGCCTCCCCTCCCTGCACCCCCCACGTCCCCGTAGGCCCCCCCTCCGACCCAGTCCCCCCCCCCCCCGCCCCCCCCCCCCCACCCGCACCTCCCACCCCCACCGCCCACCATCCGCCCTCCCCTCCCCCTCCCCCCCCCCCTGCCCTAACCCCCCCACCCCCCTTCACCCCCACCCGCTCCCCACCCGTTCACGATCCCCCCCCACCCCCGACCACTCTCCCTCCCCGGCCCCTCCCTGGGGTATCCCCTGCCCCCGCCCCCCAGCTACCTCACCTCCCCCCGACCCTTCCCCTCCACTCCCCCCCCCCCCCTCCTCCCCCCGGCCCCCCCTGGTTTCACCCCATCCTGCCCGAAACCAACCCCATCGCTACCCAAGCACAACGAACCACCTCGCCACCCCTCGCCACGCTGCGCTAGCCCCATCCTCCCCACCCCCTACCCCTGCCACCCCCAATCCACCCCGCCCTCCGGCGCCCCCCATCCCCCCCCCCCCCAACCGCCGCTCCCTCCCACCACACATCCCAACACCCCCACTCTCTCCCCCCCGCACGGCACCCCGGCCCGGGCATGTCCCCCCCGCGCCCCCCCACCCACCCACTACCTCCCCCCCCCTCCACCCACCCCCCAGCCTCCTCCGCACCCGACCACCCCCCCTCACCCTCCCCCCTACCCCCCCCCCGGCCCCACGCAGCTCGTCCCCCCCGCCCCCCCGCTGCCCACCCCCCCGCCCGCTCCATCCCCACCCCTCCCCCCCCGCTGCGCCCCCCCTCCCCCCCTTCCCTCCTCCGCGACCCCGCCCCCCTCATCGCACCCCCGCCGCCTCTCCAACCCACCTCCCCGACCTCGATGGGTTCCCTCCCCCCCTCCCTCCCCTCCCCCCCCCCCCCCCCTCCCCGGCCCCTCTAACCACCCCCCCCCCCCAGGCGCCTCCACCGCACACCTCGCGCCTTCCCCCCTGCTTCCACCCTCCCCCCCGGTCTCTCCCCTCTCCCCCACCCCCTCCCACGCCCCCCCCCGACCCTCCCCCCCACCTATGCCTCCCAACTTCCCCCCTCCCCCCCCTCCCCCCCAGGCCCCGGCCCCCCCGACTTTAGCCCTCCCCCCCCCCCCGCCCTAGCCCTCCCTCGCCCCCCGGGCTGTCCCTTCGCCCTCCCGCTCACCAGCCCCCCCGCCCCCCCTCCCCCCCCCCTTCGACCTCCCCCTCCACCCCGCCCCCCCGCCCCCAATCCCCCCCCCCCACCCCCAGCCCCATCCGTTCCCCCCCTCCCTCGCCCTCCCCCGCCCGCCCCCCCATCCACCTCCCACCCCTGGCCCCCCCCCCCCCCCCCCTTAGACCCCCCCCCCCCCCTCCCCCAACCCCCCCCCCCCCCACTTCCCCCCCCCCCCACCCGCGCTCCCGGCCCTCCCCCCTCCTCCCCTCCCCTCCCCTCCCCCGCCCCCCCCCCCCCTGCCCCTATCTCCATCACCCCATCCCCCCCCCCCCCCCCTCCTGCCCCTCTCCCCCCAGCTCCCCCCCCTCTCGTCCCCCCGCCCCCCCTGCCTCCCCCCCCCCGCCTGACCGACCACCGACCCAACCCCCCCCACGGCTCCGTCCCCCTCCCCGCCTACCCCCACACCCCTCACCCTTACGCCGCCCACTCCCCCCCCCTTCCCCCCCTCCCCCCCTCCTCCCCACTTCTCTTACCACCCCTCTCTCCACCCCCCCCCCTCTCCCTCCCCCCCCCCCCCACCGTGCCTTCATAACCTCCCCACCCCCCCCCGCACCCCCCACCCCCCCCCCCCCCACCCCCCCCACCTCCTCCCCTTCCTCCCCCCCCGCCTCCTCCCCCCCGCGCCCTCTCCCACGCTCCCACTGGCTACACCCCTGTTTTGCCATCACCCCCCTGTCCTCCCCCCTCTCATCCCTCCCCCCACCTTGGTAGGTGGTGGGGTATGTGTGTGGTTGAAGGAAAAAAAAACAAAAATACCAAAACAAACTACAACATCTAAGTACCACCGAAACGAAACAGCAGATCCCCCACCACGAACACCCCAAAACTCCCCCCTTACCACCCCACTCCCCCACCCCCTCCACCGCCCACACACCCCCCCTCCACGCCCGCACCACCCCCAAAACCCGCCCCTCACATTACCAGCTCACCCCCCCCCCCCCTTCCCACCCGCCCCCCCCTCCCTCACCCCCCCATCCCCCCCCCCCCCCTCCCCCCCGCTCCCCATCCCGCACCCCTCAGCTCCCACTTTTGCCACCCCACACCACGCCTCCCCCCCCCAGACCCTCCCCCCCCCGCCCCCTCATTGCCCCCCCTCGACCCCCCCCCCCGCGGTCCCCCTAAACCCACCACCCCCCCCCCCCCCCCTCCTTTCCTGCTCACCCCGCCCCCTCCGACCCTCCCCCCCACCCCCTTCCCCCCGCCGACACTCCCCCCCTCGCATCTCACCCCTCCCCCCACTCTACTCCCTCCGCCCCTATCCCTCCCCCTACCGTGATTTGGGTCCCCCCCCCCCCCCCCACCCTCCCCCTCCCCCCCCCCACCGTCCCTTCCCCACGTTGTCCCCATCCCCTCCCCCCGACCCCCCCCCCTCCCCCCCTCGCCTACCTTCTCGACCCCCCCCACCCCGTCGCGCAGTCACCCCCCTCCCCTCTCGCCCCCCCCCATCCCAACCGCCCCCCTTTACCCTTCCCCCACCCCACCTCCCCGTCCGACCCTCCCCCCCCGGACCGCATCCCATCCGCCTTCCGTGCCCAGTCTCCCCCCTGGCACCGCCCCCCCCCCACCTCATCCCCATCCGCCCCGGCCCCTCCCCCTCGCCCCCTCACCCCCCTGCTCCGCACCCCCCCCCCCGCACCTATCCCCTCGACGCGGCACCCCTGCCGCCTACCACCCCAGCCCCTCACCCCCCCCCCCCGGACCCCGCCCGCCCCCCCACCCTCCCCCCCCCTCCCCTCCCCCACCCCACACACCGGCCATTGCGGGGCCCCCCCTCCCTGCCCCCCCCACCTCTCTCCCGAAACTCCCCCCCTGCCCTGGCCCCCCCCACCCTCCCACCTCCCCCCTCATACCCCCCCCCCCCCCCACACACCCCCCCGCCCGAACTCCGCGCCTTCCCACCCTCCCTCCCCCCCCCCCCCGTCCCCCCCCCCTCGCCCCCGACCTCCCCCCCCATACCCCCACAATCCCCCCCGCGCCCTTCTTTTCCCCCAACAGTTGCTTCCCACCCCCCCCCCGCTCCCTGCCCCGCCCCCCCCACCTCACCTCTGCTACCACCGCCCCCGCCCCCCCTACGCTCCCGCACTACGAATCCCCGTCCTTCCCCCCCCCCCCGTCCCCCCCCCCGCCCGATCCGCCCCTCCCCTCTCCCCCCTCCACCCCTTCTCCCCCACCCCATTCTCCCCGGCCCCCTCCCCGCAGGCCCCAGCTCGTCCCCCCCTCATCCCCCCACGCGTCCCCCCCCCTCCCCTCCCACCCACCTCCCCCCCCCTCCCCCCCCATGCCCGCCCCGCCCCCCCGCCACCCCCGCCCTCATCCCCCCACCCCCCCATCCCCCCCCGTACCCCCCCCCCCCCCCCCCCCCCCCCGCGCCCCCGCCATCCACCGAAGCCACCCCCCCCCCCCCCCCACCCCTTTCCAACCTCCCTTCCCCCCTTTCCCCACGATAGCATCCCCGCCCCCCCCCCCGCCGCCCCCCCCGTCCCCTCCCCCTCCCCCTTCACCCAGCTTTCCCCCCCCGGACACCCCCCTTCTCCGCTACCCACCCCACCGCCTCTCCCCCCAGGCAGCATTCCCCCCGGTCTCCCCCCGCCCACCAACCCACCGACGACCCCCCTCCCACCCCCGACGCTCCTCCCCCCCCCCGCCCCCTCCGCCTATACAGTCGCCCCCCCCCCCCGGGGCTCCCCGGACCCCCCACTCTCTCCCCCCCATTCCCCCCCCCCCCCCCTCCCCTTGCTCTCTTCGCACCCCCCACTCCCTCCCCCCCACCCGCGCCCCCTCCTCCGCCCCCCCACCCACCCCCCCCCCTCGCCCCTACACCTCGTCCCTCCTCCCCCCCACCCAACCGCCCCCCTGCCCTTCCCCTCCCCCCCCCCGACCCCACCCCGCCCCCACTCGCCCCCGCACCCCCCACCCTGCCCCCCCCCCTCCACCCCGTCCCGCCTCCCTCTCCTCCGCCCCCCCGCTCCTCCCGCCCTCCCCCCCCCCCCCTCCCACCCCCCTACCGTCCCGACTGCGCGCCCGGCCCCCCCCCCCTTCCCCACCCTCCCCCCACCCTCCTCCTTCCGCCGTCCGCTCCTGTCCCGCTCCTCCCCCCCGCCCAACAGCTCCTCCCAACCACCTCGCCGACCCTCCCCCCCCGCCCTCCCAGCCTTCCCCCCCCACCCCCACCCCCCCTCATACTCGACCTCCCCCCCCCCGCCCCCCCCCCCCCCCCCCCCGTATTCAATCCCCAGCCGCAAACCCCGCGACTACGCCCCCCCCCCCTCCGCCCCCCCCCCCTCACCGCCAGCCGCCCTCCCCCCCACACCCCACCCCGCCCCCCCTGCCCCCACCCACCCCCCCCAAGCTACAGAACCCCAGTTTCATCCCCCGCCACCCCGCCTACCCTCCCCCATCCCCCCCCCCGTCCCCCACTCCCCGCCCCCCTCTGCACCACCCGCCCCGCCCCACCGCTCCCCATTCTCCCCCCGCCCTCGCAACCCGCCGCCAGCACCCCACAGCCTACCCCCGGACCTCCTTAGCCCCCCCCCCAACTGCCCCAGCACCTAACCCCCTCCCCGCGGCTTGCCCCCCCCAACCCCCCCATACCACACATCCCCCCCCCAACCCCCCTGACCCCATGGTCACCCCCCGCCCGGGCGCCCCCTCCCCCCCCCCTCGCACTTCCACCCCCCGCCGCCCCCCCGCCTCCCACACCTCCCTTCCGCCCCCCCCCACCCCCCTCCCCAGCTCCCCCCCCCTGCCCGCCCCGCCCCCCCCCCCCCCCCGCCTCCACTGCCAAGTCCCCCCCCCCCTCCCCCAGATCCAGCTCCGTCCGGTCTCCCCACGCCACCCCCCCCCCCCCCGGCCCCCCCCCCAACCTTCCCGCTGCCCCTCCACCGCCCCTCTACCCCCCCCCCCTCCGCCCCCCCCCCCACATCCCCCCGCCCCCCCCCCTCTAGCTCCCAGCCCCCCACCCACGCGCCCCCCTCCACCTCAGACTTCCCCCTCCACTTTCAATCCCCCCCTGCCCCAAACACTCCCCCACCGACCGACTCAACTCCCCGCCCCCCTACACTCACCCCCGGCCCCCCCCACCCCGCCCCGCCCCGCCTCCCCCCCCCCCCCCCGGCCCCCCACCCCCGCCCTGTCTCGCGCCTCGCTCCCCCCCGCCCCCCCCCTAGCCCACCCACCCCCGCCCTCCCCCCCCCCCACCCCCCCCCTTCCCCCCCCCCCCTCGTCCCCCCCTCTCCCGCCGTCCCCCCTCCCCCCCCCCTCCCCCCCCCCCACCCCCCCTCAACCCCCCCGGCCACCCTTCACCACCCACCGCTCGCCCCCCCCCATCCCGCCCTCCTCCCATCTTCCGTCAACCTGCCCCCCCCTCCCCCACACTACCCCCCCCCCCCCCCCGCCCTGCGGTGCCCACTCCCGCCCCTTCTCCCCATCCGCTCCTCCCCGCCTTCTCCCCCACCCCCCCCTCCCCGTCCGATTCTTCTTCTCCATCCCCGCCCGAGCTCCCCCCTCGACCCCCCTCCAGCCCTTCCTCTCGATCCCCGCCGTGCCCGCCCCCCTCCTGCCGCCGCCACCCCCCCCCAGCCCCAAGGCCCCTCCGCCCGCCCCCCCCCTCCCCACCCCGCCCCCCCGCCCCCTACTCCCTCGTCGCGCTATTCCCCCCTACTACCTCCTTCATGGCGCAAGCACACGCCCCACAACGAACGAAAACCCCCACAGCACAATGCCAAACCCAACACCCCCACCCTCGAGACCTCGACCTTCCACTCCAACGCGACCACCACCACCAACCTACCACCCCCACCTCCCACCCCTACCCAAACTCCCCCCCACCACCCGCCCACACACACACCCCGCGGATCAACTCCACCCCCCCCCCCCACAACCCGTCCACAGCAGTAACAGACCCACATCAACACCGCAACCCAGCCACCGACCGCAAACAACAAGCCACCCCAACTAGCCACCAAACAAAAATACAACACATACACCCCCCGCCCAACAACGACTACACACACCCCCACAAGCTCAATCCCACACCCCCGACGACCGGCTCAACCCACCCACTCACAAAAAAAAACAAAGGGCAACATAGGGTGGGTATGAGGGGGGGGGGGGGGGGGGGGTGTTGTTGGGGGGGGGGGGGGTGTGGGGTGGGGGGAGGGGGGAAAAAAAAAATTTTTGTGTTGTGTGTTGTGTGTTGTGTTTTATTGGTGTTGTGGTGGGGGGGGGGGGGGGGGGGGGGGGGGGGGGGGGTTGTTTTGTTGGTGTGTGTGGTGTGTGTGTTTTATTATAATTTGTTTGTAAATTTTCTTTTTTATTTTATAATTTGATCAGAACAAATAACAAATAAAGAAAAAGAAAAAAAAAAAAAAAAAAAAACAACACCAGAAACTAAAACGCCAAAAAAAAACAACGAAAAAGGTGCAAGCCACGACCCCTAATAAAAACGTGCCCACAGCCAAAAACAGCCATAAAAACAGACCAGAGACCACCTCCACATCAACACTCAACGCACACCCAAGTCCACACAACCATGACCCCCCCAACCAAAACCAAACAAGCAAACAAACACAGAAAAACAAACCACCAAACCACCGCAAGTCGCAAGCAAGGGCGAAACACACGAGGCGAACAAGCAAGAAGCACAACAAGCCTAACTACACACCACCCCCGCGCCAACTCGCCACACACCACAACCCCCCCCTCCGAGACAGCGCCCGCCACACCCCCCCCGACCCTGACCAAGGACCCTCGAGGCCACACACCAACCGACGCCCCGACCACCACGTCCCCGCACAACACAACCGCGCCGCCAACACTCCCGCCCGCGTCCCGCCCGCTCCCCCTGCGCACCACCCCTCTCCCACACGCCCGCCCCCTGGCACCCCCCCGCCTGCCAGCCCCCCCCCCACACCCCACCCCCCCTCCCCTCCCTCCTTACCGTCACCGAACCCACCTCCCCCCGCTCTCCCCCCCACCCCCCCCTCACCGCCCCAGCAACCTCCTCCCACTTCCATCCCCCCCCCCCCCTTCCCCCCCCATCCCCCCCCCACCCCCCCCCCCATCCCCCCGCCGCCCCTCCCCCTGCCCCTCTACCCCCCCCCCTCCGCCCCCCCCCGCCACCCCCCGCCCCACGCCCCCCTCCCCCCCCCCCGCCTGCCCGACCCCCTCATCCCCTCTCCCCCTCTCCCCCCCCCTTCACTTTCCTCCCTCTCCCTCGCCCACCTGGCGATCCAACCGCTGTCGTCCCCCCCCGCGCACCATGCGCTCACCCGCCCCCCCCCACAGCTCCTCACCCCCCCCCCCCCCCGCTCCTCTCCACCCCCCCCCCTCCCCTCCCTCACCGCCGCCACCACCTCCCGCGCGCCATCCCCCCCCCTCCCCCCCCCGCCCTCCCCCCCACCCCCCCCCCGGGCTCCCCCTCCCCCCGCCCCACCCTAGCTCTACGCTCCACCGGCCCTCCCCTCCCCCCGCCCCCCCCCCGGCTACCCCCCCCCCTCTTCCCCCCCCCTCCCCCCTGCCCCTCCCCACCCCCAGTCGTCCCCCCTACCATCCCCTCCCCCCCCCCCCCAGCCGCCTCAATTCGACCCGCTCCCTCACCCCCTGCCCCCCTCCCCCCCCTCCCCCCCCCCTCCCCCTACCCCGCCCCCCCCCCCAGCCCCCCCACCCACTCACCCTTCACCATGCTCGGCTGCCCCCCGCCTCTCCTCCCCCCCCCCCTGCCCCCCCCCCTTCCCATCCCGCCCCAAACCCTGCCGCACAAACCACATGCCCTCTCCCCCCCCCCTTCTCCCCTCCCCCCACCCCCAGTCCCCCCCCAGCACCTGACCCTTCCCCCCACCCCCTAACCACCCGCTCGCCACCCCCGTCTCGCTCCTTTTAATCGCCCCCACCCCGCCTCCCCTCCCCCTCTTTATTCCCCCCACGCTCCCCGGGGCCCCCCCCCTCCCCCCCCCCCCCAGTTCCTCCCGCCCGCGCCACCCACCCCCCTACTCCCCCCCTCCTCACCCCCCCCCCTCCTACGCCGTCCCTCTGCCCCTCCCTCCCTCCGTTCCCCCCCTCCCCACCCTCCCCCCCCCCCGCCCCCCCCCTCCCACCCCACCCCCCCCCCCTTATGCCCCACCCTGAGCACCCTGCCCTCCCTTCCCCCCACCTGCTCAGTCCACCCCGACATGTATCTCCGTCCCGTCCCCTTGCCCCCCCCTCCTCCACGCCCGCCAGCCCCCTCTCCCGCCCCTCGCGTCGCCCCCTCCCCCCTCCCCCCAGGCTCGCGCCTTCGCCTCTGACGCCTCCCCCTCTGCCCTCCCCGTCCCCCATCAATGCCGCTCTGCGGACCCTCATGCCCCCCCACCTTCCCCCTCCTCCCGCCCCTGTACCCCCCCTAAACCCCACCCCCCCCCCCGACCCCCCCCCCCCTTCCCGCATCCGCCGCGGCCCCCCCCCCCCCCGCCCTCTCCACCCGCCCCCCTCCCTCCCCCCGACCCCAACCCTCCCTCGAGCCTCGCCCCCCCCCCGCGCTCTCCTCTCCCCTGCTCCCGGCCCCCCCCCCCTTCCCCCAAGCCCACCCCTCCCCGCCCCCCCGCCCTTCCCCCCTACCCCCCCCCTCCGCTACCCCCGGCCTCACTCACCCCCCTCCCCCACGCCTTCCCCCTCCTCCCACCCCGCCCCCCGCGTATCCCCCGGCCCCCCCCCCTAGTCATCCCTCCGCCTCCCCGGCCTCCCCCCCCGCCCTCCGCCCCTTGTCACCTAACTGTTCCCGCCACCCCTGCTCTCCCCCCCCCTCCCCCCCCCCCCCCCCCCCACTACTCCTCCTCCCTCCCTCCCTCCCCCACCCCCCTCCACTCCCAACGTTCCCGCCCCCCCTGCCGCGGACCCTCCCCCCCCGCCCGCTTCTGCCCCCCCGCCCCCACGCCCCCCCCCACCCCATCCCTCCCCCCCTCCCCCCCCGCCCCCCACCTCACCCCCCCCCCCCCCCTACGCCTCCCCCCATCCCCCCCCCCCCTCCTCAGTCCAACACGCTCCCCCCCCCACCCCCCCCTAGCCCCCTCCCCACGTCCCCAGCCCCCGCAACCCCCCCACCGTCCCCCCCCCCTCGCACCCCCCTCACCAACCGCCCCCCCTCCCCACTTCCGCCCTCGCCCCCACTCCTCCCCCCACCCCCCACGCCCCCCCCCCCTGTGCCTCCCCTCCATCCCCCCCCCCCCCCCCCCTCCCCCCCCCCCCCGCTCCACCCTTGTGCCACCCCCCCCTACCACCCCACACCCCCCCTACCCCCCCCTCTCCCCCCCTCCCCCCCCCCCCCAGCCTCCCTCCAGCCCCACCCGGACCCCCCCCCGCCCGATCCCCGCTGTCTCCTTCCGGCCCGGGCCCCTCCCTCCTGCGTGCTCCCCCCCCCCCCCCTCCCCCCCCGGTCATTTCCGGCACCCCCCCCCCGCCCCTTTGTTCCCGCCTCCTCCCCACTTTTCTTCCCCCATCCCCCCCCCCCCCCCCCCCCCTTTTCCGTACCCCTACCTTTCACCCCCCCACCACCTCCCCACCCGCACTTTCCCCACCCCCACCCACACTCTGCCAACCTCCGTGTTGGGGGACCCCCCCCTCGACCCCCCCGCTCACACATGCCCCCCCTAATCCTCTCAACCACCCCCCCCCCCTCCACCGACCCTCCCTCTACCTGACTCCCCACTCCACTTCCACCCGGTCTCCCCTCCCACCCCCACCCCCCTGCCCCCCCCCCCCCCCCCCACCCCCGCCCTAGCTCCCCCCCCCACTCCTCCCCCCCCCAACGGACGTATCCCCCCTGCCCCGCCCCTCCCACCCTCACCCACCCATTCCCCCCGCCGGTTTGGGGGGGACACCATCCCTACCACGCCCCCCTGCGCCCCTGCGACGCCCTCCCCCGCCCGCACCCCGTCTCCCCGGTCCCCCACCCCGGCCCCCCCCCACCCTCCCCCCCACCCCCTCCCCCTTCCCACGCCCACCCCCCCCCGCCGCGGCTGCTTCTCCCCCCTCTCTAATCCCCCACCCCCAGCTCCCACCTCCCCGAGCCCGCCCCCAACCTCCCACCCCCCAGGCCTATCCCCGTCCACTCCCCCGATCCCTCCACCCTCGCGACCCCTCCCCTCCCCCGATCCCCCCCCCGTCACTCCCCACCCCGCCCCCCCCCCCCCCCTCTTCCTCCCCCCCCCCCCTCCGCCCTGTCCCCCACCACCCTTCAGGCTGACAACCACCCAGCCCCCCCCATTCTCCCCGCACCGCCTCCCTCCCCCTACCCCTCTCCCCCCCCCCCCCGCCCCTATTGCCCCCCCCCGACACCCCCCTCCCTTCCCCCATATCCCCCATACTCCCACGCCCACTTCCCCCTCCCCCCCGCCCTCCCCCCCGCTTCCCCTCTCGCCCCGCCCCCGTTACCCCCTCACGCCCCCCCCGCACCCAGCCCCCCCCGCCCCCCCCACCCCCCCTCCCTAGTTCCCCCCCCGCCCACGCCCCGGCCCGCCCTTCTCACCTTCCGCACCCCTGCCCGCCCCACCGCCCCCCCAGATCCCCCGACGAGCCCCCCCCCCGCAATGCCCCCCCAACACGCCTCCCCCAGACCCCCCGCGCTCCTCCCCGGGTGGCCCACCACACACGCCCCCAGGCGGGCGCCCCCTTAGGCGAGCGGCCCCCCTGCCCGCGCTTGCTGCCCCGCCCCCGCCTCCCCCCCCCGCCCCCCCCCCTCCCACCGAGCGCCCTCCTCCCTCCCCTCCCCACCCCCCCCCCCCTACCCCCCTCAATCAACCCCCGTGGGGTTGGGTGGTCCCCCCCCCCCCCCTCCCCTTCACACCACCCAACACCCCCCACCCCCCTGGCTCTCCCCCCCCGCCTCCTCCCCCCCCCCCCCCCCAGCCCCCCCCGCCCCGGCACCCGCTTATTACCCTGCCCGCCCCCCGCCCCGCCCCCCCCGGCCCCCCCCCACACCCTCCCCCCCCGCCCCCCCCTTCCCCCGCGCCCCCCCCCTCCCCCCCGCGCCCCCTCCCCCCTCGCTTCCCCTCCCCCCCCGCACCCCGGCCTCTCCGCCAGCTCAACATTCCACCCCCCCCTGCCCTGGACCTCCTACCACCCCCCCCCCCCCCCCCCCGCGCCCCCCCCCTCCCCTATCCTTTACCCCGCCCTCCCGCCCCTCCCCCCCCCCCCTTCTCCCCTGCCACGCCCCCCACTGCCCCCTGCTGCCCCCACCGCTGTCAAAGCCGATCCCCCCCCCTTGCCCCCAATCCCACCACACTCCCGCCGGGCTCGTCACCCCGACCTGGCTCGCCTCCGCACCTCCCCCCCACCCCCCCGCCCTCCCCCCCCCCCCCCCCCCCCCCCCCGCTCCCACTGTTCTACCCCCACCCCCCCCCTCGCCCCCGGCCCGGCCAGTCCCCCACCTCCTCTCCGCCTCCTAGCCGCCACCCCCCTCCCCCCCCACCCCCCCCCTGTCTGCCCCCCTCCCCGCCGCCCCCCCTCCCCCGACCCTCCCCCCCCCCCCCCACTCCCCCCCCCCCCCGGCCGGCCCCTCCCTCCCCACCTCTCTCCATTCCTCCTCCCTCTCCCCCCGTCCCCCCCCCCCACCCTTCCCGTCTCCCCCCCTCCCCCCCTGTCCCCCCCCCCTCTCCCCACCCCCTTGGGGGTGGTACCTCCCCCCTCCTCGCCCTCCCCCCCCGCCGCTTACGCCTTAGCCCCCCGCCCCCTCCCCCAAACCCCTCCGTCCCCCTCCCCACCCCCCACCCCCACCCCGTACTCCCCCACCCCCCCCCCCCCCCACCCCCCCCTGTCACCCCCCACCCCCCCTGCCCCCCCCCCCCCCCCTCAGACCGCCCCCCCGCCCCTCCCTGCCCCCCGCACCCCCCCCCAGCGCTCCCCCCCGACCCCTCACCCCCCCCCCTCCCCCCCACCCTCCCTCCCCCCCCCCAACCCCCCCCGCTCCGCCCCTCCTGCCCCGCCACCCAGCCCAATCCTCCCCCCCCTCGTGCGCCTCTCATCCCCTCCCCCCATCCACTGCTCATCCCCCCACGCTCTCGCCCCCCCCCCCCCTCCCACTCGCTATCCCCCCCCACTTTCCCGACCTTCCATCCCTACCGGCGCGCCTGCCCCCTCCCCCCGCCCCCAAACCCTCCCCCCACTCCGCACCCCCCCCTCCTCCGCCTGGCCCCCCCTACGACACCGTTCCTCCTCCCCCCCCCGGCCCCCCCCCCCCCCCCCCCTCCCACCACCCCCCCACCCTTTACTCCAGTGCCCCTGGCGACCACCCCCTGCCACCGCCCTCCCCCCTTTATCAATTTCCCCTCCACCAGCCCCGCGTCACCTTCGCCGCCCACCCCCCACTCCGCCCCCCCCCCATCGTGCCCCCCCCCCCGCCCCACCCCTCCCCCTCTCTCCCCTCCCCCTCCCTTCACCGCCCGTTCCCACCACCCCCACCCCTCACTCACCCCTCCCCCCGCCCCCCCTCGGAACGAAACCCCACCCCCCACCCCCCTCATCCCCCCCCGTTCCCCCCTCTGCCCCCCCGCCCCCCTCCCTGCCCCCCGCCCCTCTACTCCCCCCCCCCCCCCCCCCCCCCCCTCCCCCTTCCCACCCCCCCCTGTGTTCCGGCCCCCCCCGCCCCCCCCCTCGCCTCACCCAGTATTCCCTCTACACCCCCCCCTCTCCTACGCGCTCCTCTCGCCGCCCAGACTCCGTCACCCCCTCCGCCCCCTGTGGCCGCTTCTTCCCCTCCCCGTCCTCCCACCCCGAGCCCACCCCCACCCCCCCGTTTCGCCCATCCCGTCTTCCCCCTGAACACCCACCCCACCCCCCAACGTCCCGTCCACCACCCCGCGCCCCTCCCTCCCCCCCTCCGCCTCCACCCCCCGCAGTTCCCCACCCGCCCTTCCCCCCACCTGCTACCCCATCCCCGTCCCTACCTACCCACCCCCCCTCCCCCCCCTCCTCTCGCCCCCCCCCCCCCCCCCACCTTCCCCCCCTCCCCCCGCCACTCCCCAAGTCCCTCCGCCCCTCTCCTGCACCCCCAATCGCTACCCTTCATCTCCCACTCACCCCCTCCCCCCCTCATTAACGCGTTACAAAATGTCCTCCAATTGGATATATGTTAGAACATTTACAACCTAGTATGCGCAGGCTGCGCTTCACCCCTGAGACACCTTTTATTGGCCGAATTAAGACACAACATAAATATTGCTCTCCGTTTGCCCACCAAACAGTCCTGCTATTGCAAAAACACATTAATACATGATATTATCCCACCTCTAGGGTCTCGGTCGTTAAATACAATGTGAATTAAATCGAAATTGACACATAGCCGCGCCCCAACCGACTATTCAACATTTTAGAAGGGCATTTTTCACATTTAGTTTTTCAAACTGTTTGCAAATTGCACATCACCTCTTTTTTGCCTCTGATTCAAAACAGTCAAATGTTCAAGGTCTTAGTTTTTTACCCTGTTTGCCGTGGCACGAGAAACGCTCCCCATTCTTAGCACATGTACACCTCACACAAGACATTCAAACCAGCCTCGGCTGTTTCACCGATTCGCCTCAAAATCGTCCACATCATCTCACACCATGTACTTCACAATGTACTTCAGGTAATTTGATCCGTGAAACGCTGTTTTGAGGCAAAAAAAGCCCCCGAGCGGCAAATGTAAGGGTTTTTTTGGCTCTTTTGACAACATTAATATTTGCTCCTGTTTTGCACAAACAAAGTCTGATTTGCACAAAACTTTCCATCCATTGTCAACTTCCAGGGTTTAGTCAGGTTAAAGTGAAATATTGGAAATCGTCCCCTTACGCCCCCTACAGACTGTTCACAGTTTACATGGGGAGCCAAACCAGCCTCTACTTCTTCATATCCATTAATTTGCCTAACCATTCTTTCTATGGCAACGGAAACACAATCATCACAAACGGCGTGCTACCTCCTTTTTAGGCGTGCTGCGTGGTACTGTGTGCGGCGTAGTGGCGGGGCGTTGTGGAGCGGGCGCGTTGCGGCTTGGGCGGGGAGGCGGGTGCGGGAGTGCGCGCGGTGCGGGAGTTTTGCGCGGTGCGGCGAGGGCCTTCGGGCGCCGCTTGCGGCTTTAATATATTTCTTTTCTTTTCTTCTTTTTCTTCTGCACATGAGCCTTTAAGTTGACCACCCCTGATCATGGCATGAACAAGTTTTAATTTTGCCCCAAATCAGACCCTGGCGAAAAATTGATATTTGTGTTTATTTTTATGCGACTCAAAAACTGCCAGAAACAGCGACACCGACAACAGCCAAAATAATAACCCCTAGGGAGTTTCTGAAGATCAATTTGTTTGTAGAGTCATGAAATTTCGGTACACATGTTCCTCAAGTCAAGACCAGAACAACAATATTATTATGGCTCACGCCCTCTGACAAACAGGAAAGGCCCATAAATGTCACGTGCACAAAGAAAAATGAAACAGCAAAAGTATTCTACATGTTGGGTTGGTAAGCGACTCCACCTCGGCCGTCTCACCGATTCGCCACAAAATCGCCCACATCATCCAACACATGTACCCTTCAATGAATGACCGCAGGGAGTTGGATCAGTGGAAACTTTGTTGAGGCAGCGGAGCGGCAAAATGTGACCTTTTTTTGGCCGTTTTTGACAACATTAAATTTGCTCCCTTGTGATTGGTTTGCAACAAAAAAGTCTGATTTCACAAAACTTTAAGACATTGTTGAACTCAAGTCATAGTCATTTGAAAGTTAACATGATTCAAATTGACACATTAGCGCCCCTACGACTATTTCAAAATTTTAAATGGGGCATTTCAAATTAGTTTTTCAAATGTTGAAATTTGCACATACATCATGTTTGAGTCCGCTCGTTGATTCAAAAAGTCAATTTGGTCCAAAGGCTTATTTTAACCCTGTTGCCGTGGCGACGACAAACGATCCCCATTCATTGCAAATGGTACACCTCACACAAACATCATACCAGCCCTCGGCCGTGATCACCGATTCGCCTGAAAATCGCTCCACATCATCTCAACATATGTGCCATCAAAAGACTCAGGAATTTTGATAAGTGAAAACGTTGTTTGAGCAGCAGAGCGCCAAAAGTGGCGTATTTTTGTTTCAGTTTTTTGGAAAATAGAAAATTTGCTCCGTTTGGCACATCAAACATAGTGTGATTGGCACAAAACTTGAATCCATCGGTTCAACTCTTGAGTCTAGGTCAAATTGAAAGTTTCAAATTTTGAAATTGGCGCTAGACGCCAAACCTTGGGAGGGTGGGGGGGGGGGGGGTGGGGGGGGGGGGGGGGGGGGGGGGGGTTCAGCCAATTTTAAAATGCCTAAGGGAGGTGTTCGAGGTCAAAAGTGCCGAGAAAAACCAAGGTAATTTGGTACATATGTTTCCTCAGTCAAAAGACATGGAAAAAATGTAATTATGGCTAATCCCTCCGACAAACAGAAGCCATAAAATTTCACTGCAAAATGGAAAAAATGATTATCAAATCATCTCTCATCACTCGGGGTTAGTAAAGCGACTCCCCATCGCAAGCCGATTTTACTGAATTGGCCACAAAATTGTTACAAATCATAGTCAACACATTTTACCTTGCAAAATGACGTCAGGGAATTTTGATCAGGGAAACGTTTGTTTAGCAGCGAGCGGCAAAATGTGAGGGTTTTTTTTTGGTGCCGATTTTGACAACATAACATTTTTTCCTTCCGCCGTTTGGCACAAACAAAGACGGATTTGCAATAAACTTGAATCCAGTGTTCTACTCCAGGGTTTTAGGTCAGTGAAAGGAAATATTTTAAAATTGGCCCATAATCGCCCCCTAAAGACAGAGTCAAAGTTTACATGGGAGCCAAACCCCGCTCTACTTCTCATATTCATTACAATTTGACTAACATTCATCTATGGCTACGGAACAAATCATCCACAACAAAAAAACGGCGCCACCACCCATCCTTTGAGCGGTGCTGGCGTGTACGTGTGTACGCGTAGTGCGGGGCGTTGTGGAGCGCCGCATTGGCGGCTTGGTGCGGGGCGAGCGTGAGGCCGGGACAGCAAATGGTGCAGGGCGGCGTGGTGCGGGGTGGCTTGGTGCGGGCGGCCGTGGAACGGGGTGGTGCGCGCGGTGCGGGGAGTCGCGCGGTGCGGGTGAGTTTGCGCGGTGCGGCCGAGGGCCCGTCTCGACGCCTGCTTGGCGGCTTTAATTATACTTGTTCTAGCCCAGGAAAAACCTGGGAAAGAACAAGATTTGCTGTTTTTTGATGTCATATTTGACCCACTGAACATCAACACGAAACTTACAAAATTTGCCACAAGTTTACTGTTCTTAGCAAACACTTTTATTAATTTGTGTTCCCAGTAAGAGACTTCATATTTCAAAGTTGTAGGGCGCAATTGTAGTCTAATAAATCCACCATTTGCACATACAAATCCGATTGCACAAATTTTAATTAGGTTGTTCAACTTTTGGGTTTGGGTAAACTGAAAGTGTATAACATCATATTGAGGCCTTTAGCGCCCCCTACAGAATGCATTTCAACACATGTTGGTTGGAAAGCGACTCCTCCCTCGGCCATTTTCACTGATTTGCCTTAAAATCGCTCCACATCGCTAAACACAGTCAACCATCATTTTGATTTCAGCGATTTTTGATCAGTGAAACGTTGTTTGAGTAGCGAAAACCGCCAAAAAGTGGCGTTTTTTTTTTAGTTGTTGAAGTATAGAAAAATTTCTTCGTTTACGTCAAGCCACAAAGTCCGATTGCCACAAAACTTGTTTTCATGGTTAAACTCTAGGGTGTATGTCCATTTGAAAGTGAAATAATAAGCATGCCAGAACAGCGCCCCCTACAACACCAATTTAATACACCTATGGAGAGTTGTTGGAGTTCAGTTTGCGTAAGCCATGAAATTTGGTACACATAATTCCTCAGGTAAGACATAAAAAATGTTATTATGTCCACCCGCCTCTGACATACAGGGAGCCATCAATTTCACTGCAAAATGGATAAACGAACAACAATAATTTTCACACATTTCCGTATTGGGAATCTACTCCTCGCTCGGCGTCTCGTTTCCACAGATTCGCCTGAAAAATCGTCTCCACGATCAATTTCAACACATTTACCTTCAAAAATGACTTCAGGGAATTTTTATCAGGGAAATGATGTTCAGAGCAGTGGAGCGGCAAATAAGTGACCTTTATTGACATAGAAAAAATAACCTCTCGTTTGCACAAACAAAGTTTGATTTTTACTAAACTTGACCCCAGTTGTTCGTACTCCTGGCCTGGGTCACCTGAAGGTGAAAAATATAACATTTGCTCTTTATCCCCCCTACATACCGAGCTAAAGCTTTTACAATGGGGAGCCAAACAACGGATCAATAGCCATACAGTGTCTATGCTATGGATAGCAAAATCAGGCCGCGCGCCACTGCGGCACGCGAGTCACGCGGGGGAGTCACGGGGAGGGGAAGTGCGGGTTCGGGCGAGTTGCGCGGGGACGGGAATTGTAGCGGTGCGGGGAGTCGTAGTGCTGCGGGGGATCGTAAGTGGAGCGGAGAGTCGTAGCGGAGCGGGAGTCTAGCGGCGCGCGGTGCAGGAGTCGTAGCGTGCGGGGGATTCGGACCGTGCGGGGAGTCGTAGCGGTTGCGGGAGGTCGTAGCGGTGCGGGGATGCGTAGAGCGGTGCGGGAATGCTGCGGTGCGGGAGTCGTAGCGGTGCCAGTGGCGGGGAGTCGTAGCGGAGCGAGTGCGGGGATCGTAGCGGGACTGGGGAGTCGTAGCGGAGCGGAGTCGTAGCGGATCGGGCAAGGCGCGTGGGGGTGGGCGGGGTGTCGGGCGGTGTGGCGAGGCCGTTCGACGCCGCTTGGCGGCTTTAAATAACTTGTTCTAGCCCAGGAATACCTGGAAAGAACAAGTTTGCTGTTGTTTGATGTCATAATTTTTGACCCACTGAACATGGCCAACGAAACTACAAAAAATGTGCCACAAAGTTCTGTGCCTTGCAAACACTTTTATTAATTTTTGTGTTTCCTAGTAAGATACTACAAATTTGATTTGTGTAGGGGCCGCAATTAGTAGTCCAATAAAGCCACCGTTTGACATACAAAGTCCAGATTTGCACCGCAAATTGATCGTTTGTTTCAACTTTTGGTTTGGGTAAACTGATAGTGTAAAAACATCAAATTGCAGCAGTAGCGCCCCCTACAGAATGTCATTTGCACAGATTTTGGTTGGCAAGCGACTCCTCCTTAGCCGTTTCATGCATCAGATTTGCCCTTAAAATCGCTCCACATGGTCTAAACACATTACCATCATTTTGATTTCAGCGAATTTTGATCAGTGAAAGTTGTTTGGCAGCGAAGCGGCCAAATAGTGGCGTTTTTTTCTTCAGTTTTTTGACAATAGAAAAATTACTTCCGTTTACCAAACTAGGCCGATTTTGCACAACACTTTGTTTCCATGGTTAAAACTCTAGGTCTGTAGTCATCGTGAATTTGAAATAATCATTGCCAGAACAGCGCCTCCCTACAACACCATTTATATACTCCTATGAGAGTTTTTTGAGTCAAGTTTTTGTTGTAGAGCCAGCGAAATTTGGTACACATGTTCCACAAGGTAAGACATGAATTATTTTTATTCTGGCCACAGCCCTCTGACAAACGGGGAGCCCATAAATTTCACTGCAAATGGATAAATGGAACAGCAATAATTATCACACATGTCGTTTGGAAAGCGACTCCACCTCGAACCGTTTCACAGATTTGCCTGAAAATCGCTCCAGATCGTCTCAACACATGTACCCTTCAAAATGACTTCAGGGAATTTTTATCCATGAAACAATGTTTCGAGCATCGGAGCGCAAATAGTGGACCTTTTTGGCTAGATAAAAATAGCTCTCGTGTGATCAACAAAGTTTGATTTGTACTTAAGTGACCCGATTGTTCTACCTTCCTGGGCCTGGGTCACCTGAAAGTGTGGAAACTATTAACATTGGCTCTTAAAAGCGCCCCCAACATACCGAGCTAAAGATTTACATGGGGATCCACACCGACGATCACATTATCAAACATTGTTCTATGGCTACGATAGCAAATCAGGCGCGGCGGCGCCCACCCTGCGGACGGCGAGTCACGCGGGGAGTCACGGGGAGGGGAATCGCGAGTTGAGGCGATTGCCGTGGTGCGGGGAGTTGTAGCGTGCACGGAGTCGTAGCGGTGCGGGAGTCGTAGTGACACGCAGTCGGAAGTTGTAGCCGGAGCCGGGAAGTCGTAGCGAGCGGGGAGTCGTAGCGAGCAGGCAGCGTAGCGGAGGCGTGCAATCGTAGCGGCGCGCGTGCGGGGAGAACGTACGGCGGGGATCGAGCGGTGCGGGATCGTAGCGGTGCGGGGAGTCGTAGCGGTGCGGGGAGTCGTAGCGGTGCGGGGAGTTGTTGCGGTGCGCGGTGGCGGAGAGTCGCAGCGGAGCTGGGGAGTCGATCGGCAGCGCGGTGCGGGGAGTTGCAAGCGGGAGCGGGGAGTTTGTACGAGCAACGGTGCGGGAGTCACACAGCGGAAGGACGGGACTCGTAGCGCGGAGCGGGGGGTCGCGGCGGTGCGGGGAGTCGCGCGTGCGCGAGGGCCCGTTCGTACGCCGCTTGCGGCTTTAATTTCTTTCTTTCTTTTTTCTTTCTTTCTTTTTTCTTTCTTTCTTTTTCTTCTGCACTTGAGCCTTAATTTACCCCCTGAACATGGCATGAAAAGTGTTAAATTTTGGGCCCAAAAATCAACCTGGCGTAAAATTTTGATATTTTGGTGTTTTTTTTATGGACTTCAAAATGCCAGAACAGCGCCACCTACAACACCACAATAATACCCCTAGGGATTTCTGAGGAGCAAGTTTGTTGTAGATCATGAAAATTCGGTACACCATGTTCGGCAAGTCAAGACAAGAATAATATTATTATGGCTCCCGCCCTCTGACAAACAGGATCCCATAAATTTACTGCAAAATGGAAAAATGGAACAGCAAAAAGTAATTACATTCATTCGGTTGGAAAAGCGACTCTCCGCCTCTGGCCGTTTCACACCGCGTTCGCCTCATAATCGCTCCACATCATCTCTACTCATGAACCTTCAAAATGACCTCCAGGATTTTTTGATCATATGAAACATTGTTTGTGCAGCGAGCGCCAAATGTGACCTTTTTGGGCCGTTTTGTTGACAACATAAAGTGCTCCCACTTTGTGCACAAACAGAATTCTGATTTGCAAAAAACATTTATACATTGTTCAACTCTAGGGTCTAGGTCGTTTTAAAGTGAATAATTCAATTGACACATAAGCGCCCCCTAACAACTATTTCAAAGTTTTTAGATGGGCATTTTCAAATTTAAGTTTTTTCAAAATGTTTGAAATTTTGCTCATAAATCTGTTTTTCCCTCTTGATTCAAAAAGTCAATTGGGTCCAAGGGTTTATTTTTTACCCTGTTGCGTGGCGACGAGAAACGCTCCCCATTCATTGCAAATGGTACACCTCCACAAACATCAAACCATCCTCGCTGTTTCACCGATTCGCCCAAAATCGCCTCCACATCAATCTCAACACAAGTACCTTCAAATGACGTCAGGGAATTTTGGATCCGTGAAACGCGGTTTGAGCAGGCGGCAGCGGGCAAAATGTAATGGTTTTTTTTGGCTCCTTTTTTGACAACATAATTTTGCTCCAGTTTGCACAAACAAAGTCTATTTGCAACAAAACTTTTCATCCATTGTTAATTCCAGGGTTAGGTCAGGTTAAAGATGAAATTAATTGGGAAAGCGGCCCCTTAGTCGCCCCCTACAGACAGTGTCAAAGTTTACATGGGATACCAAACCACTCTACTTATCATATTCATTACAATTTGAACTAACATTCCTTCTATGCTAAACGGAAACAAATCATTCACACGGCGGTGCTACCACTCCTTTTAGCGGATGCTGCGTGGTACGGTTGTGGTGGCGGGCGTAGTGCGGGCGTTGTGGGAGCCGCGCGTTGCGGCTTGGTGCGGGGGGGCGGCGTGGTGCGGGAGTGCGCGCGGTGCAGAGGTGTTGCAGCGTGCGGCGAGGCCGTTCGACGCCGCTTGCGGCTTAAATTAGGGACCCCGAGCCCCGAACGGGTAAGGGGTCCTATTGCGTTCCACAATGGTGAAAAACAAATGTGCGGGCGTGAACGGACGCGTCAGCGCCCGCCACTCCGCCAAAACGTGACTGATGCGTGGCCGTAAACTCAAAGCTTTAAAAATGATGTATCACTGCCATTGAATCCCTATATTGTTTTTGCTCGAGAACGCGAAAAAAAAAGCTTGTTTATTATTTCTTCTTCTTCTTTCTTTCTTCTTTTTTCTTCCTGCACTTTGAGCCTTATTATGACTCCCCCTGAATTAGTCATGAAAGTTGTTAAATTTTGGCCCAAAAATCAGACCTGGCTGGCGAAAATTTGATCTTTTGGTGGTTTTAATTTAATGGACTCAAAAATGCCAAACAAGCGCCACCTACAACAGCACAAAATAATACCCCAATGGGAGTTCTGAAGATGAAGTATGTGGTAGATCCCAGGAAATTCGTACACATCGTTCTCTGCAAGTGCAAGACAAGAAAAAATATATTATGGCTCCGCCCTCTGACAAACAGGAAGACCCATAAATTCCCCTCCCCTGCTAAATGGAAAAAAATGAACATCAAAAGTTTCATACATGTCGGGTTGAAACGCCTCCCTCCTCCGGCCGTTTCACCGATTCGCCTCACAATCGCTCCACATCATCTAACACTATGTAACCCTTCAAATGACCTCCGGGATTTTTGATCGTGAAACATTGTACGAGCAGCGGAGCGGCAAAATTGACCTTTTTTTTGGCCGTTTTTGACAACATTAATTTTGCTCCCGTTTTGCACAAACAAAGTCTGATTTTCACAAAACTTTAATACATTGTTCAACCCCTCTAGGGTCTAGGTCATTTGAAAGTTAAATGATTCAAATTGACACATTAGAGCGCCCCCTACAGTACACTTTCCAAAAAGTTTAATGGGCAATTTTTCAAATTTAGTTTTTTCCAAAATGTTTTGAAATTTTTGCACAATACTCTGTGGGTTGGGGGCCCTCGTGATTCAAAAAGTTCAATTGGGTCCAAGGCTGATTTTAACCTCGTTTTGCCGGTGGCGACGACAATCGCTCCACCCATATCAATTGCAAATAAACACCTCACACATACATCAAACCACCTCGGGCCGTTCACCGTGTCGCCTCAAAATCGCTCCACATCATCCTCAACACATGTACCATCAAAATGACTTCAGAGTAATTTTGATCAGTGAAACGTTGTTTGAGCACGGAGCGCCAAAAAGTGGCCTATTTCTTTTTTCAGTTTTTTGACCAAGTGAAAAATTTGCTGTCCGTTTTGCACAAACAAAGTCTTATTTTGCACAAAAACTGGAAATCCATGGTTCAAACTCTTGGGTCTAGGTCATTTTGAAAAGTTAAAATTCTGAAGATTGGCTCTATAGCGCCACGACAACAGACATATTAAAAATCATAGGGAGGGGTTTGAGGACAAAATGGTCGTAGAGAACCATGTAATTTGGAACACAAGTTCTTAAGTCAAGACAGGGAAAAATGTTATTATGGCCTAAGTCCCCCTGTCAAACAGAAAGCCCATAAATTTCATTGCAAAATGGAAACATGAAAAAACCAATCATTTGTCATAAACGTTGGTTGGAAACACTCATCCGCGGCCGTTTCCACCGATTGGACTCAAAATTGTTCCCAAATCATCTCAACACATTTACCTTCATAATACTTCACGGAATTTTAAGCAGTCAAGACTTGTTTTTGAGAAGCGGAACGGCAAATTGTGAGGGTTTTTTGCTGTTTTTTGACAACATACATTTGTATCCCGCCGTTTGCACAAACAAAGACTGATTTGCTTAAACTTGACTCCATTGTTCCAACCTCCAGGGGGTTTGGTCAGGGGGAAAGTGATAATAGTTGAAATTAGCCCATTAGCGCCCCCGACAGACTGAGTCAAAGTTTACAATGGGGAGCCAAACCAGCGCTTTTTTAGAGCTGGTTTGGCTGCCCCATGTAAACTTTGAATCATCTGTAGGGGCCGAATGGGCTCTAATTGCAAATTATGTCACTTCACCGGACCTAAACCCTGGAGTTGAACAATGGATTCAAGGTTATATGCAAATCAGTCTTTGGTTTGTGCAAACGGGAAAAAATTTATGTTGTCAAAAACAGCACCCAAAAAACCCTCACATTTTGCCGTCTCCGCTTCTCAAACACGTTTGACTGATTAAAATTCCCCTGAAGTAATTATGAAGGTAATGTTTTGAAATGATGTGGAGGCCTATTTTGAGGAAAATCGGTGAAACAGTCGAGGAGGAGTCGCTTTCCAACCAACGGTCATGTATGAAAACTTTTGCTGTTCATTTTTTTCCCATTTTGCAGTGAAATTTATGAGCTTCCAGTTTGTCAGAGGGATTAGCCATAATAACATTTTTTCCCCATGTCTTGACGTTGTAGGAACAATGTGTACCAAATTACATGGTTTCTACGGCAATTTTGACCTTGAACCCCTCCCATAGGCATTTTTGAATTGCTGTTGTAGGTGGCGCTATAGGCCAATTTAAAATTTGAACTTTCATTTGACCAAGACCACAAGAGTTGAACCATGGATTCAAGTTTTGTGCCAATCACACTTTGTTTGTGCAAAACGGAAACAATTATTTCTATTGTCCAAAAACCTGAAAAAAAATACGCCACTTTTTGGTCGCTCTGCTGCTCAAACAACGTTTCACTGATCAAAATTCCCTGAAGTCATTTTTTGAAGGTACATGTGTTGAGATGATGTGGAGCGATTTTGAGGCGAATCGGTGAAACGGCCGAGGCTGGTTTGATTGTTTGTGTGAGGGGTAGCATTTGCAATGAATGGGGAGCTTTTCCCTCGTCGCCACGGCAACAGGGTAAAAAATAAGCCTTGGACCCAATTGACTTTTTGAATCAAGAGGGCAAAACAGATTTATGTGCAAAATTTCAAACATTTTGAAAAACTAAATTTTGAAATGCCCATCTAAAACTTTGAAATAGTCTGTAGGGGGCGCTAATTGTGTCAATTTGAATTAATTTACACCTTCAAACGACCTTGACCCTAGAGTTGAACAAGGTATTAAAGTTTATGTTGAAAATCAGACTTTGTTTGTGCAAACGGGAGCAAATTTAATGTTGTCAAAAACATCGGCCAAAAAAAGGTCACATTTTGCCGCTCCCGGCTGCTCAAACAAATCTTTCAACTGATCAAATATCCCTGAAGTCATTTTGAAGGTACATGTGTTGAGATGATGTAGAGCGATTTTGAGGCGAATCGGTGAAACGGCCGAGGAGAGTCGCTTTCCACCGACATGTATGAATACTTTTGCTGTTCAATTTTTCCATTTTGCAGTGATATTTATGGGCTTCCTGTTTGTCAGGGGGCGGTGGCCATAATAATATTTTTGTCCCTGTCTTGACTTGATGGAAAACATGTGGAGCCGAATCTCATGGGCTCTACGACAAACTTGACCTCCGAAAAAGTCCCATAGTGGTATTATTTTGGCTGTTGTAGGTGGCTCTGTTCTGTCATTTTTTGAGTCCCATTAAATAAACACCAAAAATATGAAATTTTTCGCCAGGTGTGATTTTTGGGCAAAAATTTAACAACTTTTCATGCATATTCAG